TATATAATCTGCAGTCGCAGATTGGCTGGGACGAGAGAAGAAAGGCAGGATAAAGACTTTTGTCTTTGTCTTCACCAAGTTCTTGTGTTGATCCCAGGATGATGGGCAGCACTATAGCAACAATATCGACTGGATGAGCAATCAGCTTTGGCAGGGGGGCGTCGTCACTTTGCTGTCCCTCACACATTATGCATATTTACAACAACACACTCAGAGAGAAAGGTTATCAAAGTGATTAAAGTACATACATATCGGCTGCCGGACAGACACACCATCAGTGAACTTGATTAGTAAAGTCTGCGCAGCGGCTTAGTCCCGGTTCTCTCAGTTCTCTTCGCACTGTGTATGTGCAAATACTCTCACTCTGACTTTTAAACATAAAACCGAGTTGTGCTATTGAAGTCTTGAACGACTTTCATCAGAACACTGAAATTCACACCTCTCTCTCTCACCTTCGTCCTCCCAGGTTTTAGTCAAACGTTGGGATGTTCTTCACACATCGGGACCTCTCCTACATTTAAATCAGGATGAGCTCAGAGTACTTTCACTTGTGTTGTTCTCACTCAGGTTTTTTCATTTTATCTTTCACTTCTTAAACTTTGTCATTTTGTCTTTTGTTTTGTGTTATTTGATTGTTTGGGATTTACAACAAGACATAAACCTGACTTGGTGCAGGACACGTGCGTCCGTTATGGTGAACCTGTGGGCGGTTCTACAATAACAGTTTTTCATGCAGCTCACAGCTTCACATCACATCAGTCACACGTGAGAGCACAAATTTCCAGCATGGATCACTTTAACCTGCTGTCTCTCCAGGACTGTGATTTGCACTTGTGTGAGAATAGAACAGGAAGTGGTGAATTCACAGTGAGTGGGTGTCATGTGTCCCTGCCTGTCTCCACGGCTCACGCTGGCTATCGCACCTGAACCAGATCCAGCAGTGTGTCTGTGGTGGACAATTTCCTGCAGCGTGTTACACGTGACAAAGTCTCTCCTGAGTTCATGTTTGGAAACGGCTTCAGAGTCCTGTGAGCGCCATAAGAGACCTGCACATCCTGCTCCCTGGATTGATTCTGGAAATTGATTTTTTTCTGCATGTGTGGACACAACCTTTTTTTCTTAATCTAAAAATTTAGACATTGCCTTCTGCCTTTTATAGACACTGAATTCTAAAATCAAAGGGTTTTTGTGCACAGAGAATCGCACTAACTAGGCTTTGCCCGCAGCGTGCTGGAGGAAGAACATTCCTGCAGCTAAAGGGCAGCTCGGCTTTGTGGAGAAGGCACCGCAGACCAATTTGAAGGATGAAAAGCACACAGAGGTGAAAAGAGCAGCAGCCTGTTATACAGGCTTTGGATAGAAATGTTCAAAGGGTTATCTCTGTGCAGCCGCCCAGTCAGAACTTTCTAAATCTCTCTGCTACGATTGTCAGACCACAGGGGAGGCGAGAGGCTGGACTGATCGCAAAGCTCATGCAGGGCTATTGTTTCCTGTTTCTGCATAGAAAAGGTTGAAAAACAGAAGGTGCAGAAATAATGCACGGCACAAGGAGACGGCAGCAACATGCGTGAAACGATGCGCAGCTGCAGACTCACACTGAGGGGGATGCAGATGACTCTCAGTCCAAGCACGACACGGCGGGACTGAAAGTGTTAAACAGCGTGTTTGTGTGTATTTAATACAGTGCAGTATTTGTTACCGTGGTAGTAATCGCTTTAGTTAAAGCTGGTTCAGTCTGCTGAGCGTTCCTGTCACCAATCGCTGGATCAGCGATCCTCCTGGAACACGTCACCTGTGCCGTTTCCTGTTTCAGGTGACAAACGGAGGCTGAAATGAGGCATCAAGAGGACCAACAGCGGGCGAAAGCTTTTAGTCCCAGAGACGACCGGCACGTTACCTGCAGCAAGGAGATGAACATAAAACCTGTTTGCTGAACACCCGTGTGCACGTTGGACGTTTCTCGGTGCTAACATTGGAAAATGAACTTTCTCCCTAAAAGGTCAAATAAAAGCTGAGAGTAGCGTGGTGTGAAATGCTTTTCTGATGGTTTTCTCGTGTTGTGCTTCACCTACCTGAAAGCACCCTCGGGGTGTTATCAGCAGGCTGCACATTGAGGGTCTGTCAGTACCCGTGAGTGCAGACAAGCATCATGAAACGGCCCAGAAAATACCAGATTTGGACCAAACGGCTGCCAGGAGCTTATCTAACAGGACGGCCGGGCCTGTTACCTGCAGACGGACAGAAAGTCGGCTCAGTGAATTATTTTTTTGTTTGCTCTGATTTTTTTTTCCTAAAGAGTTGTTTTGATAGTAAAGAGGAGCATGATTGGCTAAAAGAATCCTCTACTTGGTCTTTGTGCCTTTCTTCTGCCTCCTTAACAGACTTGTAGAGGCTCGTTCCCGATCATACATGAAAGTTTCGAGCACTAAGTACAAATTCAGGTCTTTACATCTTGGCTCATCAGGATGATTAAATGTCCTGAAGCTAAAATCGGTTCAGACGAACATCTCAGTCACACCAACATCCCCAACTAAAGGAAGAAAGTGAGCTTTTAGTTCAGCAGGAAGCTGTTGGGATTTTAAATATTGCTGCTTCAGATAAACAGCTTCCATACTGAGCAGCATCTCTTTAAAAATAATCTGTCTCATCTTCAGAGGCGGCAAAAGTACAGACTTTAAGTAGAAGTACAGATACCAGTGTTTAAAAATACCGAAGCACTGAAGCAACTTCTTTACTCAACTAAAAAAGGTTCAGTCTGTGAAATGTGCTCAAAGTAAACAGCAGCTCCTTGGAGGACAGTCATAACAGCGAATGAATGTCAGCATCATCAGCTTCAATGCAAATTCATCTCTGCTCTGTTTTCTCTGGCACAAAGAAAAAAATGTGGCTGTTTGCTTGTATTTGATGAAATTAGCAGACAATGCTCGCTCCTCATCTGTGGCACCAACCAGATGCAAGTTTACAGAGATGCAGCTCCGCATGAGCACGGCAGCCGTGTGTGAAGGCAGGAGTGATTTTCAGCCCTAAATGCTCCAAAGACGATAAAGGAGGAATCTAAACATTATGTATATTTAGTCCAACACTGAGCATAAAGTTCACCCTGTGAGTTTGCCGAGCTGTGGTGATCTTAACTTTACCTGCTCTGATTCCTGGAAACACAGCAACTGTGCATGTAGCATGCAGACACGTGTCAGTGTGTGTTTCCTGTAGCTGTTTGAAGAGTCACCTGCCACTTAAATAAAAGCTTCACTGCTCTGGTGCAGCGAATGTGGCGTATGAAACATCCCTGAAATGATGTGCGTGTAATTAGTAATGAAAACTGCAGGAGCTGCAAAACAAAGCTTGAGAAAAGTCCTCGTGAACCCAGCGGCACTCATTATCCTGGTTCCCCGTTTATATAAGAAACATGTGAGCGAGGATTAATGAGTTTAAGGGTCTCGTTAGCTCCACTACGTCCTGTTTGTGTCTTTATTACAGTGAAAACATTTCACAACATTAAGTGCGAAACTAAAGTCTGCGTAAACTGTTTGATGAATGCACGTCTGAATCACTTTGTGGGTAAATATCTGCATCATTCTCAAAGATGATGAAGACGGATCTTGTTTGGCCCTCGACCCTCGTCGCCACATGACGACGTGTGTGCATAAAAACATTTTTAAATACACCATATTTCACCACTTCTGAATAATATCATCAAAGAAGCCACCGAGTTATAAATCATTACAAAACAAAGAGATTAAAAAGATAATGTCCCATATATGTTATGAAGGATTGCACATGCATTCAGTTTCTGACACACAACATATTTCAGACGTGTTTTTAAACATTTTAACAAAGCTCAGATGATTCATTAGCGTAGCTCAAATTTATGACACCACCATAAATACATGACCGTTTTATTACCGTCTCAGATCATTTGGTGGGCGGGGCCATAAATCTGCATTTGACACTTGATTAGCCCTCTCTTTATGCAAGCAGACAACACGAACACAGACAAATACACAACAGTGCAAATGTTTCTGTGACATGAAAACTGTCTGTGGGCAGCTGGAGTCACACACACACACACACACACACACACACACACACACACACACACACACACAC